TTTTTCTAATTGATCTAGTCTAATCTAAGTCTCTCTCTATTTCCCTTCTCTTCCCCTTTGGGGGAGGAGGGGAGTCCACAGAATGTCTGTTACAGGTGTGGGGGCAGCCCTGACCCTAAACCATGACACAACCATGACATAGAAGACATGACATGTCTTTTATCATCTGCATATGCTTAGTCTCAGTCTGATAAAGCTTCACTTAAGTTTAGTGTATGTTCTACCCAAAGAAGAAACACGATGTAGGAGATTTTGCAGTCTGCTTTTGTCTTCATTCCACATACACCTACCAGCAAATCCAAGCTGCTTATGTGCGTCTGTATATTGTGCAAGTCTTCAGGAGCTACACCTCTAAAGTGTTTGAGTTTGGAGCTTCCTACTTCCCTTATAGCCATCGCAAACGGAACCATCCACTTCACGCAGTCCTCTATCTCACACCATTCATAACCTGGAAGACAAGACACATGCTTATCTGCCTGAAAGAAGAGTCAGTGTTTGCAAACACATTAGGCTTGGTTTATGAAGGCCAATACCTGAAACTTTCTGTATCAGCTCAGATGAGGAGAAGTGATACAAAGCAGAAGCTGCAAGGACACCATATGTATATTCCAAGCAGCCAATATCCAGCACACAGAGATCCAGGAGCTACAAAACAACAGATGTTTAGTGAGTCTATCACAAGAACACGTTTTCCTCCCCCCAGGTGAAATAGCATTTGAAAGAAGAAAATCAGCCTTACCTCTGCTATTTGTACAAATATTTGCTGTGGATATTGTGGCAGCAATACCTCATAAAGCTCATTTAAATATGCAACTTGCATGTAAATGTTTAGCCATGATACAACTGTCAGTGGGTTTAAGTTCCAGTTAAGAGCCTGAAAGAGCAGACATTCACAAGACTTCAGTATTAATAAAGAGTTTCTAACTTAAACCATGCAACTTTATTTACTCCAGATCAGAAGCTGTAATTCCAGTTCATCAAGGCATTTTTGAAACACAAATTTAAGCCTCTCCTGTACCTACCCCTGCTGATAGGGTGAGGTAACAATTAATTTTGTTAATACCCACATATTGGTGGATGCTTTAAATCACTTGCTACCTAGAGAACAGTTTCCTAATTAGAAAGAGAAATTGCACCTCTTAGCAGCACATAAGATTAACTGAGGCTCTTTGCTTTTAGCCTGATAATGCTATACGTTTTTAAAAACTAAAGCAGAACTAATTCCACTTTGAAATATTACCTTCATAATAATCAATTCCATACTGAGGATTTCATCTTCTGTACAAGCTCCATCTGTAACATAGGCAAATTGGTGCAACTTTGGTGGATAGATTTCCTGAAAGACAGATGAAGTATTAATTTGTGGAATAGCTTGTAACTGGTCTCGTGTGCTGAAGAGGTAAAAAAACAAACAAAAACAACACAAAACCAACCAAACACACACAAAACAAAACACCAGAAGAGGAGAGAACCTCCCCCACACTACTTCACGTGTTTCAAAAAAAGAGGGAAAAAAGAACCCATGGCCCACCTTAACTCATGAAGTTCTACTCTGCCTTTAACATACAGAGACTTCTTCTTCAACTGTTCAACTTTCCTGCTCACAGCCTTCACGTTTCACTTTTGATGGATCAGTACAACATGCATTATGCTTGACTACAGGACCATTGATATGGTATCATAACTGATATGAAGATTTTTTTCTAAAACCTGAAGAAAGGGCCTTCTACTCCTTGCTTGAGGAGAACAGATTGAAGAATAATAGGTCTCTTAAAAAACAAACAGTAAGAACCTAAAAAGCACTATGTATTTTAATACTTCAATTTGTTTCACTGAAAGAACAGCTCAGACTATCATCCAGTAGGTCCTACACTAACACCAGAATCATAACAAGTGGTCTCTGTAGAGACCAGCCAGCCAAAAAATTAATTTAGGAACTGCAATTAAAAACTTTAGATTTATTCTAGCACTGAAAAGACTACCCTTTTAAGATTAAAGAGATACACTGTGATGTTAGGTAGTCTTAAGAAAAAAGTTTTGGTCATTTCACCTCCCAGCTGAAAAGTCATAGCAACAAACTCCATGCTGCCTGCCAAAATGCATCTAGTGTGCCATAAGTGTGCTGTCTGTCCATTTACATTTTTAAGTTTGAGTAGAGCTACAGATACTTACCTCAAGCTTTGCTGCTATGAACAAAGAAGAGATACCAATGAGCTGCAATAGTGTTTTTACAACATTCTGTTGTGTTGCCATAAACCGATCAAAGAAATCTTGTGCTAAATAAAAAGTTTCTCTATGGAGCTTGTAGACTTCACAAACCTGGAGAGACATCAGATTACAGAGGTGAAGAACAGTGTGGTACTGTCAAAAATAGATGCTACAGATGTATTAAAAAAACCCCAAGAGCTAGACATAAAATTCATGTTGGCTTTCTGCTTTGCTGCTACTGTGAAGTAACCTGTTATCTAAGAGCCTCAGTGGAACAGTTTCCTTGGACACACACTGACTCTACAGCCACTACATTGACTCCCAAACCAGAGAGATCAGCAGCAAAACTCTTTTGGGAAACGCGAGCGCTCGTTCCGACAACGTCAGAACATCCATTCCTCATTTTTGCAAAGAGGCATCATTCCCACACTGCAAGAGAAAATTCTCATGAATACTTTAGAATTAAGAGCAGGCCATGCTACCAAATCATCCAAACAGCATCAAAGACCCTCGTACAAAGCTGCAGGACAGCCTACACACCAATAACAGGTCAGAGGTCGAGAGGTGCATCTGGTCTCCAAGACACCACACCTTCCTCCTCACAGCAACCTTCATCATTATCTCTGCAGCTTCTATCTTGCCACAGGGCAACCTTAAAAAGCTTACAGCGTGGAGCTTTAGGGGAAAATTGATTATTAACCACAATCAGCCTAAGTGATTATCAGAATATATTGTCAGTTTGTACACCATCAGCTAGCCCATTATATAGTCCTCTCTTAAGTTTGGTGCCCTTGACAGACTTGGTGAAGATGAGTGTTTAGTGCTAGATGGGTTATGTAAAGATCATGAAATGTACTCATGACAGTCATTAGAACACTTCAACAAAAGTACACTTGAAATACTCAGAAGCACAGAAAAGCTTACCTCCATTAGCCAGTCTAGAAGGATGGTTCTCATTTTAGGTTGCAGGAGAGGGTGTCTTTGCATATAAAGTTTATCCCTCACATATGTCTCTTCTTTGTTTATCATGTTTTTCCATACATCCTCTCTGTTTGCCCAGCTAAGACAGAACAATAGGTTTAGTCTCAAATATAAGACTACAGGAAGGCAGAGAAGCAGCAGCAGGAGGGCCCACTTACCCTAGAATGGGTAGTGGCGAAGCTCTGGTTGGAACAATGCTCAGATGTATAAAGTGAGAGAAATCAGCACCAACTGGATCATCATCTTTATCTGGAGTAGGAATCAGCATATGGGCATTTCTGTGAACATTATTCCAGGACGGCTATTAAACGAAATACAAGATTTTACACTCTGCCTTTTTAAATAATCATGTTAGCTGTAAATAGAAGACAAGACATTGGCAAGAAACCACAACAGAAATTATGATTATCTCTTCAAACTGCAGAGAATCAGAGATGGGAAGGGACCTCTGTATGTCATTTTGTCCAACCCCACTGCTCAGGCTGGGCCACCAAAAGCCAGTGGCCCAGGATCATGTCCAGATGGCTTTTGAGTATATCTAAGGATGGAGGCTCCACAACCTCTCTGGACCATGTGCCAGTGCTTCTTGACATTCAGAGGGAACCTCCTGTGCCACTGTTTGTGTCCACCTCCTCTTGTCCCATCACTGGGCAGCATCACTGAAGAGATCCTACCTCTATCTGCTTTACATCTTCCCTTCAAGTATTTATACACATTGATACAATCTCCCTGAGCTCTCTTTTTGCTAGGCTAACCAGTCCCAGCTCCCTCAGCCTTCCTAGGAGAGAAGCTTTGGCCCCTTAATCATCTTAGTGGCCCTTCACTGGACTCTTTCCAGTATGTTCTGGACTGTCATGCTGGGGACACAGTACTCCAGGTGTGACCTCACCAGTGCCAAGTAGAGGGGTGTTGCTCATTTTCACAGTAGGGAAAGTTTGTAGCTAAAGCTGAAGAACATTTATCCTGTTCACATTTTGAAGGACAACTGTTTCATGGAAGAATATCCAAGTCACAGCCTCCTATTTTCATGTTGCATTTTGTTCTTACCAAAAATATTTTGTATGAACACAAGATTCTTGCCTTCAGGTAAAGAATAAGCAAGCCAAACTTAAATTTGTGATTACAGTTATACAAAGTCAGGATTTCTGTCAAGGAATGTGTAAGATGCAAAACCTGAAGTCATGGTTCCATGCAAAGCAACCTTGACAATGAACACAACAAAACAGCAGTTTATAGACTTTTTCTTAGTTATTCATCTTGCAGTGCTAAGTTAAAAAAAAAAAAACAAACCAATGCACTGGTGATCCAATTGTTTTTGGAATAAAACAAGTACATGTCAAGCAATTGGCAGTAAAGTATCATATACAGAAACATAAGTTTCATACACAGAATTTTGCCAAGGTCTGCAAACTTTCAACACTTCACCCATTACACCCTTTTATTTGGGCCAGAACTTCAGTTCAGGTTTACTTTTCTCCTGGTTAACTCTGTTACACAAGATCTTGGTGTACATGTCACACAGTTCCCCAGGAACTACTTGTTTCATTTTGTGGTGGAATACAAAGCCAGCTCCATGTCATCACACCTAAGCAAATTAAAATTTGGCATTTCTGCCTAACTGTGAAGTCAGCCATCTTGATGCAAACTGTTCTGTTCTGCATCATTAAAATATTAGAAACCCCAAACAAGATTATTAATGTGCTTCAAGGGAAAAAAAAAAAAAAAAATCAAAAGAATCATTAGGTGCTAACAAGTAAAATGTTCTACATTAAATTTTGCCTCTCACAAAGCAGCTTCCACACCTGATTCTTGTCCTGCCCTTGCTACAAATGACATCACTTCCCAGCAAAATGGCTACCTCCTAGCACCAGCTTCAGAAACAGAAACCACTGACTTGATGAAACAAAAAACCACACTTCACAGTTCACTCACAGCTAAGACTGCTTTGTAGTCTGAGCTACTAAAACACAGATGGATAGTTTTTCTTCTTGGAGTTCAACATGCAAGTCCACATACACAGCCACACCACCGTTTAATTTGGGTGGGGGGAGGCAAAGAGGGAATAGTTATCTTTATCTTAAAAGTGATGGATTGCTTATGGACTTAAAAGTTTTAATAGAAGTGTTCCATCAGGATTGCTTTAAGTTAATTTTTGCCCTCCCTCAAAACTAGACTTTAGTCACACTATTCTCCAAACTGTATGGCAAGCCCAGCTGCCAAGAGCCTTTGGAGGAGTGCTGCCCTATCAGTTAATCAGCAAGCCAACAGGAGAGCAGTGCATTATACAACAGCTAGTGAAAGGAGCCTACCACACCAGCAGCTTCTGAAGGACAGGGGATCTGCTCCACAGAGTTCTCAACCAAAGTAGATACTTCACATACTACACTGCAGAAATAACAGATTTAAGAGATTTCACCACCCTTAATCTTCTATAAGGAAAGATAAGAAGTTCTTGACCCTTTATTTAGGTATTTCAAGAAAAAATGAAAACAAAGTATTTAACAAGATAATATCACTCACCAAGATGAGTAGGGAAAAGTTGCAAGCAACAGAAAAAGATACAGTTTAGCTCAAGACAAGAAGGAAAAAAAACTGCACGGGGCCCTCAAAAGCAAGAAGCTACCAGGAAGGGAGACGAGATTCTGAACTGGAATAGGTGAGGGAACATTATAGCTCTGCATGGACTTTGGTTGAGAGAATTAGCATATTAATCTGACTCTTGAGCCTTTAAAGCTGGTTTAGCAAGACATTCAATCAAAACTAAGAAAAAAATATCAAGAAACTGCATTACATCACACTGTTACTGTAAGGAAATGGGAGGCACCACTGAAGAAAAGAAACAGTTTAAGGTGGGCAGGGTGTGAGGAAACCATGAAGAGCTTCTGCTGGGCTCACAGAGAGCCAACCTGAAGGCAGAAGCTGCCAAAAAGCAAGAGATGTTACAAAAAAATCTGTGCAGCCCAATGTAGAAAATCCTATGGTCCTGATCTTACTTCTGGGGCAAAGAGGAATAGAGTAGGATGCAAGCCAACAATCAGTAGGGAAATTGGCCTCTTCAATTCTACATGGAGTTCAGCAAGAAAGCTTGGTGACACTCCAGTGATATGCCAGATACAGGAATAGGACAATTGATAAGGCTGCAGATCCCATCTCAGACCTGAGAAGCAGATACAGATTGAAGAAACTGAACTGAGGACATGAGAAGGCTTTTTAGGAGAAAGAATACCAAGAAGGGCAGAAGGAGACCAAAGAAGTCTATCAGAGCAGCCATGCAGCTCAAAAAAAAAACCCCAAACCAACTCTAGGAGTTCAGAGATGATTTTTTTTTTTAAAAGCTCAAATGTTCCCCCACCTTGGTTTTCTGCAACACGTCACTCACGGATATATCAAATGTTCATTTAAACAGATCTTTTGGCTATACTTCAGCCATAAAGGCCAGACAAAATGGAGCAGGTAGTGACCACTGGGATTACTTGTTATAGGCAGAGCCTTCAGTGAAGCAGCCACACCTAAGAACACAAGCTGCTGACACTTGTGCATCTCCACATGAGCTGGAAGGCAAGGGAACAAGCTTCTACAGACTGGAGCAAGGAAGGCAGCAGGAAAGCAGAGGGAGAGAGTGATCCTGAACTGCATTCCAACAGCAAGGTCAGAGGATGTTCAGCATGGACACTGAAGGCAGAGGAACAGGTCTGTTTGTCTCATACTAAAAAGCAGCACCTCATAACAGAGACATCAATATCAGCTACTAGTTTGCAGCCTGAGTTTGCCCATCAGAAATAACCATATAATTCTAGCTGCTTTTGACCTGCAGGATGCATTAGACTGAAGTATAGAGATTTTCTTTGCCTCCAGAATTAGTAAGTAGGAGAGAAAAAGAGAGACTCACATTATTAATTTGTTCTGATTCTTTTGGAATAGCCTAGAAGCTTCTACTACTTTTAATTTTCTTACAAGTATGAATATTGCTGTGCTCCAGAGCTGGACCAAGTCAAGTTCTCAACCTACATCTAGTTTACATTCTGTTTGTCTGAAAGCTTGCAAGTTGGTTTTTGCTTTTTAAATTGCATTTACCAAAGATAACCTAGACTCATTAAAGAAACTTTTGGAGGATATTTTCAGACCAGTTAGGTGGAACATTTGGACAACAGTAAGACTCTGTTCTGGATACATGTCTAGTGAGAAACTGATCAAAACTACTTCCCAGGAGTGTACTCCTTTTCACCTGAACACTTTTGTTAGCTCCATCCAAAGAAACTAGCCTCTCTCAAGTCAGTTCTCCATGCTGGATGGAGGTGGCCATGTCGTTTGTATCACAACTGCATGGATGACTCCAATATAGTTAGATAAGTGTTGTTTTACAGTGAGCCTTGGAAGCCTATCCACCCACAGAAAGCAGCTGGAATTAGCATGACAATTGCTAGCAGGATTACAGCAGCACCTCTCTAACATCAAACACAGAATTTATGCAATATTCTGCTGTCACCAACCTGATGATACAGCCACCCTTTCATCACATAAAGGGTAACGGCGTCCTAATTAAGAGCTCAGGCCTTATGCTTAACAGAAGCAAACTAATGAATTGACTATGAAGATGCTGTAAAGTGGGATGTGACTATGATATTTTGCCTTCTGCATAAACTAGTGTCAGTAAACAATTTATTTAATGTAGAAGTCATGTGGTGTAGGCTGCAGTGGATTTATAGCTACTTGCATTTTAGAATTGTTGTGCCTCAACAGAATAACTATCTCACTGGCTATCATACAAGCCTGCTATACTGCTGCTGGAACCATAAACATATTCTCATTAGTGGCCCATGGCAATTTATATCAGAGAATAGCTTGTGTCACACCATAGACTGAAGAGCTGCTGCTGTGCAGCCAAATGTTAGCTTTTTTAAACAGATCTGTAACAATCTGGCTACTTTGTCACAACAAAAAACCTTCTCCATGTAAGGACGGATACATGGGTACCCATTTTATTTATGGTTTACACAACCAAAGGGCCAAATCCCACCAGTATCCTAAGCTTAACTTGAAAGATTCTCAAGAAAACCCTTTGGATACCTATTGCCTAAATTATCTAAATTTTAATTTACCCATCACTCCTGAAGTAACACTGAATGGCTACCAGGCCAGGAACACAAACAAGGACAAAAAATTGGAAGTCTTTATCTCCTTTCAGACTCTAAGGTCAGTGTACACAAAATATATTTCAAGTTTCTTTACACTGTCTTTCTGGAAGAAGGTAAAATTGTTTAAAAAAACCCCACCTCAACAGAGACACAATACCTTACTGTTATGCAATAAACATGCACAAGGAGCCCTTGCTCAGCTCACACAGAATGAGTCTTTTGGTGAAGGAGAGACCTCTGGTGAAGGACAGGCAGCTCTTCCTTGTCAGAAGTGAGAAATTAGTTTAATATACTGCACAAAAGAAAGACAGAAGGGAAGGAGAGATCCCCTCATTAAATGCTCACCATTTGAGCCCTGCTTAATATGTTGACTGATAACTAGTATACACAGTTGCAACAAGCAGAGGCCATTCCAAACAATGATGCCCATCTGTTATGGTAGCACTTTAGTCTTAGAACTTCCAGCTGCCACTTCTGGTTAGATGTGCCACATTATGCATAGCCTTGTGTACCAAATGAGTACGGTCTGTGCTCCCTCATCATGACTTCTGCAGCTGAAGTGTCACCCTGCACGTGCATCAAGAGGCTGAAGTCCCAGTGACTGTCTTAGCAAGCTTCTTGTGTGCATTCAGGGTGAAAAAAAAAAGATATGAATAAACATCCTTTTTTTTCCTTGAGGCTGAAGTCCCAGTGACAGTGCCTTAGCAAGCTTCTTGTGTGCATTCAGGGTGAAAAAAAAAAAAGATGAATAAACATCCTTTTTCCTTCCAGAAAACAAGCTACTCTGTTTTGTTTAGAGGCTGCACCACAATGTGCAAAAGCATTATACTTTCAATACCATGTACCAAGGTAACACCCAGTACAGATTCCCACAGCAACTCAGAGACCATAGGACGAGCACTAAGGGAGCAGAGGACACTACTGAAGCTAGGAATTTAGTTCTAAATGTCTTATTGAGAAATGTGGCAATGGTCACTAGTAACCTCCACTGCAGGCCTGACTTCTACAGCTAAGTGACTTTACAGAAATGATCCCTTTATTCTGCAGAGAAATAAAGCCTATTTTAGTACTGTGTTAGCACCGTGTATGAACTTCAAAGTTCTAATCAGGAACACCATCCTCTCCATCAGTCTGATAATGACACTTGTCAATAGGAATGGAGCTGATGGTGGAAGGAACAGTGGAATGTTTCCTCTCCCCTAGGTGATATTAAGTACAGACGTGACTCTGAAGAGTCACCTCTAATTAGAATAATCTAAAGATTATTCTGTTCATACACTCAAGTATCTCGTGTGGCCTTGTGGCCTGCAAGATGGAGCATGTAAGCACATGACTGTACTCTTGCAGCTCTCTAGAGAGGTCAATGCTGAGTCCTTCCACAGAGGCCTAAACCCATATTAAGGCTTTTGCAAGATGCATGCTTGCAATCCCAGGACAGCTGGATACATTGAAGCATTTACACAATGGTTTAGACCAAGACAGGCCTCATCTCTTGCAAAGAGGCCAAAGAAACCTGTATGACCCGAAGTGGTTTGCACTATTCATGAGTCAGGGTCGATGGTCCCCCTCACTCATGTCTATACAGCACGTGTGATAGCAGGTTAGCTGCTGCACCATGCTTGCAATAATAATGAGGTACTGCAAAATAATAATAGGGTTAGGAAATACATAGGAGTACGATCTAAAGCCAAATCCATTACCTGGTTCTCATACTGCTTTTTTCTAGTCAACTCCATTTTGGCAATTTCTTCATCAGGATCCTGTAAAAACTACAAAAAAAGGACACATAGTTCCAGGAGCACAAGCCATGGGGCAAGTGACTGTTGGCCACCCCGGTGCACGCCCGGTCCCTCGGGATCGCGGCCCCGCAGCTGACAGACCCAGCCCGCCCAGCACCCAGACTTCCACATGGCCCCAGACACCCAACAAAAGGAGGCGAGGGCCGAGGGGCCAAGCCCGGCGGCGGG